TGTATTGCATTAGATAACAAATGTGCAGAAAAAATTATTTTAAGGTATTTATGAGTGTGCAAGGGTTAATGGGTAGTATATTCAGTAGATGCTAAATAGATAACCAGTTCTTTACTGAAACACTGTATACCTGTGTGTGCACCTTCATTTAAAAAATTTTTTTCAGCACATCCATATATTTGGTACAGGGAGAGCATTAAGAAAGGGCTCTTAAAGTTTTGTCCAACTATTGTAGAAAGAGTTTATTTTGCCTGGTCTTTACTGTCCTTGCAAAAGAAATTACATCATCATTTTGTATGGGAGCCAATTTTATTTTCATCTGAAGGTAGTTTTTCCACATATAGCTCTATGCTGATTAGGAAAGGGAGACATGGTGCTTTATATGTGAACACGATGCTCCTACCTATGTACTCTAGACTTTTCAGATTTTACAGAACATGGTAACTTCCCTGGAAAGCTTAAGATTAAATCAAAATCTTGAGTTTTTATTGAGCCAAATATTGCTCATATTTGGGACTCTCTATTCAAAGATTTTTAGAAGAAATATTTTGATTATATGGTCTAAGAATTAATGTATTTTTATTTCTTATTGCAGATGGAGTCTGGTGGTACAGTTTTGAGTACCAACTGGTCTGATGTAGGTAAAAGAAAAGTTGAAATCAATCCTCCTGATGATATGGAATGGAAAAAGTACTAAATAAATTAATTTGCTATTACTGTATTGCATATATTCACCTAATGCCCATTGTGTATTATTAATATTGCATTCTTGAATTTTGAACACTGAGTATCTTTTTCAAAGATTATACCTCTTTACCTCTCTGTGCTTTAGAAATTATTTTCCTTCAAGTGTTCAAAGAGTCTAATGAAGAATATAGGTCATATTTTATCACTCTATCCTTGAGGATTTTAGACATGCTGAGATGGAGTGAGGTATCATTTGCTACTAGATAAATTAGTTCTATCTAGTTGTGGGAATGGAGAAATTGTCCATTGGGTATCTTGGGTTATTGCCTTATTTTTGATGCAGTGTTCTGTTAATAATTTATCAGACTTGGCAACTTTGGGTGAGCATAGATTTTTCAACTTCAGTGTTATATTGTTTGCTTTAAAACTGCTTTTGAATTGAATTGTAAATACAGTTTTTTCTGTGAAGAAGTTTGGCTTATTTACCTTTTTCTTAAGTTTTTAATGAGAAATTATTTATCACAGGGAATTCCCATTTGGTTCTTTTTATGAGAAGTCTTTGTAATTGCACTGGGATTTTTATCCTTATCTTCCAAATTCCTATATAAAACACAGACACCTGAGTTTAACATGCTGCAAATTTAACTATACTGAAAGCCAATCTGTGAAGATGAGAACAGAGTGATTTAAGGAAGCCCAACTTCACTTCGTGCTGCTTTTGCCTTACCAGGATTCCTGAAATTATAGCACTGGTGGTTTAGTTTGGTTTTTGTAGGATTTATTTATTTTTTCTTTATTAGAAAACTTTTTCATATCCAGTGGTTACTTTGGTTTCAGCGGTTTAGGGTAGCTGCTAAGAGAGTAAATTAATATGTACCTATTTAGTATTATTTAGTAACATTTTATGATAAGGCACTACTCTGCCTTCATAGCTGAGGATAGGATGAATGGAAGGTAAATTTGCCATCATTTCAGCCTCTGAAAGAGTGAGAATTTAGCCTCTTCTAGTCATTTGATAATGAAGTTTAGGGTTGTTCATAAGGAAAATGGTGGAGTGATACCAGAGTATGCCCAAACCTGTTGTTATAGCTATTTAAGCATGGGGGGAAAAGGGAATGTCAGAGTGTTCACTTGTCCTTTTTGTCCATTTGGAGTACAGGTTACATTTCTTTGTTCTTGAACACTGAAGGTAAAGGTACAATTACGTTCTTGATTGTATGAATTTCTAAAATTTTCCCCTTAGGGAAACTATTAGTGAATTTTTCATTCTCTATGTTAAATTTTCTCAATACCATTAGTCCTAAGGGATCGGTAGGATATTGCTGCAGAGGTGATGTCAGGGAAGAATATAGCACTACACCAGAGATAAGAATCTTAGTTCTAGTAAGTCTCTGCCACCTAGTGGCTTTATAATCTTCAACAGGTTTAGCCTTTCTGTCTTAGTTTCTGTGTCTGTAAATAGTCTATAGGTCTTAGAGTTATAAGTAGAAGCCCATGATTCTAAATACAGAAACATTTTTGCCGATTAAGAATAACTTTTTTTTTCCTTAGGAATGACACTACTATAATAGAAATTTATTTTTTTGTTTTAAATTTAGTACTAGTTTTTCTTGTATTTTAAAGGATACATTATATATAGTTTGTTTATTGGTGAGGTTTTTTAAAATTTTAAAATATAGTCCGGTCGTCGTAGCTCAGTGGTTGAGTGTCGACCTATAAACCAGGAGGTCACGGTTCTATTCCCGGTTAGGGCACATGCCCAGGTTGTGGGCTCGATCCTCAGTGTGGGGCATGCAGGAGGCAGTCTATCAATGATTCTCTCTCATCATTGATGTTTTGTTTTGTTTTTCTTTTCTTTTCTGTTTTTTTTTTTTTTTTAATTTCAGAAAGGAAGGAAGGGGGAGAGAGAGATAGAAACATCAATGATGAGAATCATTGACCAGATATCTCCTGCACAGCCCCTACTGAGGGTTGAGCCCACAACCCAGGAATGTGCCCTTGACTGGAATCGAACCCAAGACCTTTCAGTCTGCAGGCTGACGCTCTATGCCCTGAGCCAAACCAGCTAGGATTCATCATTGATGTTTCTACCTCTCTCTATCCTCCCTTTCTCTATGAAATAAAAAATAAAAAAATATATATATTTTAAAGATTTTTAAAAATATTATAAAATATAATTTGAAGTAGTTTAGACCACTGTCCTAAAGTACTGCTTCTCTTTCCTCATTATACATAATGAAAATTTGTAAGCCTCCAGAAAGTTAAAACTTCGTTTTGATTAAGAACCTTGTAACTTTATCCTTATTTTCTACTCTTAGCTTAGCTATCATTAATTGGTCTCACTTTCTTTCTAGACTCCCATTTTCAGTTCTCAATTTTTTGATCTCAGCATTCTTGGTTAATCTTTTGTTTCTTTGAAATATACATTTTTTCACATAGTATTTATTTTTAAGGTTCAATCCTGGAAGCCTTTTCTTTCTTTTTTTTCTTTCTTAATCTTAAATTCTTCATCTATTCTCCTGATTTCTGTCATCACCTATACCTTGATGATTTCCCAGAACTTTCCCTCTATCTTCAAAGAATGGGATAATCTACTTCTTTGAATTCTGCTATCAAGGAATCTCTTAGTTGGCTATAACATAGGTTTGAAACATCAGGGTCCATTTCAATAATTCTGTCTTGTATCCTAACCCATTTGTAATTGGTTGCTAACTAATAAGTTCACTCATTAATATTAGCAATTACTGATCATTTACAAAAAATAATCTGCTTTATCTTTATATGGAATGCAGAAAAAGGATGGCTTGCATTAACTACATTTTTTTTTAACATTTTCATGCTTTAGATTTGTGATATTCACTAACTGCAGAACACTGAATTATTATGGTTGCTGTCTTCCTGACTTTGGGAGAGAATTTCTTAGTAGGCTACTAGGATAGGACAAGGAAGAAAAAAATTGGACTGTCCCATATAAATTTTCTAGATAAATTTCAACAAACATTTAAAATGGGGATATGTTACTATTGTTATAAATAGTCAAATTTAATTTTAATTTAGTTCAATAATTGCATATTTGGTTATCTTTTCCCACATTATCTTTTTTTCTTCTCCAGTTATGTACATTATCACTTTATGCCATTGATCTCTGAGATACGTCACTGACTCAGAGCAGTATTGCCTATTAACTTATTATCTGATCCTCCCAGTGCACTTTAATTCTATTGGGATCTTCCTAGTCCACATTAACGTGCATTTCTCTGACTGGTAGCTGTTACTGACATTTCCAAAAATGTTAGAAAATTTCTGGATGGTATGTGTGCGTGTTTTGTTACAAGAGCTACTTTGTAACCAGCCCTAAAGAAGTTTACCTCTATACTCATACCTGCTATTATAGTCCCATAGGAATATGGATTTTAGTTATCTCTGTCTCGGAGGATCCAAGGAAAAAATAATAATAAAAGCTAAAAGGGCCGAAACCGGTTTGGCTCAGTGGATAGAGCATCGGCCTGCGGACTGAAAGGTCCCAGGTTCGATTCCGGTCAAGGGCATGTACCTGGGTTGCAGGCACATCCCCACTGGGGGATGTGCAGGAGGCGGCTGGTCGATGTTTCTCTCTCATCGATGTTTCTGACTCTCTATCTCTCTCCCTTCCTCTCTGTAAAAAATCAATAAAATGTATTAAAAAAAAAAGCTAAAAGGACAAAATAATGGTTTCTGTGCCAGGGAGTCATGTGTAGTTTTATTTTTTTAATTGTTATTTTTAAAATAATTTTATTTTTCAATTACAGTTGCTATACAATATTAGTTTCCAGTGTACATCATAGAGATTAGGGATTTATATAATTTATTTATCATCTCAATATATCTAGTACCCATCCAGTACCATAGTTCCTAGAATATTATTGACTATATTCCCTATGGTGTACTTGATATCCTTGTGGCTGTTTTTATAACTAGCAGTTTGCACATCTTAATCTCTTCTCCTTGTTTTTGGTTAGTCCACACCCGAGGATATTTTTTCCATTGATTTTTAGAGAGAGTGGAAGGGAGGGGGAAAGATAGAGAGAAACATTGATGTGAGAGAGACACATGGATCGGTTGCCTCCTGCACTGGGATCGAACCTGTGACCTTCAGTCCGCAGGCTGACGCTCACCACCTTGCTAAACCTGCCAGGATTCTTTCTTCTCCTTTTTAATAAGTGGGATCATCAACATTGATCTTGTTTCCTTTGTCTCCAACTATGCATATTCTACTATAAGATCAGTTTGTACACAGTAATCTCTAAAACAAGAGATTTTATTTTGGAAATGACTGAGAACTTGTGGGCAAATTGGAGATACTGAATTACAGATGTTATTATTTGGAGTCATCCTTGTGATTTGCTTCTGAAATTAATTTAACTCTTAGCTTCTCTTCCTACCTCAGTGAACTTACCCCGCCTCCCCCAAACAGCTAAAATCATATGTATTGCTAATCCCTTAGAGCAATAGCAGTGGTGGCTATTCTGTACTAGAATTTTTTATGTGCCAGGTGTCACTAAGTGCTTTATATACTCTACCTCATTTATGAAAGCATTGTAAAGTAGTAGTAGCATGCTGTTAGTACATATTTTTAAAAATGAGGCTAAAGTTAAGTTGTTTGCCCAGATTCATTCCATCGATAAGTGAGGAGGAAGCTGGGATTTGAATCCAGGCCTGTTAGACTCCAGTGCCCATGCATTTAACAACTGTGACTCCCACTTCAGGCAAATGAGTTGGGTGTGGAATGATTTTTATTAATAAATCAACTTTTTTACAATGAAGCAGAGAATGTGCAGGTTGAATTGTTTAATTTTTCTTGTACATGGGGTGGAAAGGTATATTCTTAAAGTTCAGAATATTATCAGTTTCCTGAGTAGGAAAGCTTATTAAGAATATAAATCTTTTGCCTCTTACCTCAAGTAGTCCTGATTTGTGTTGAAAGTGCTATTTTCTCAAACCCAGATAATTAAGAAAAAAAGGTACCATTATAACTCCTATAGGTGTAAGAAGACTGGCATGTTACGATGATCAACTTTTTTTTAAATTTGGGCACTCTCACACTAGTTTTTATTATACAAATAAAGGCTAAGATTGTTTTTCCTTAAATACATTTATTAGGTTTAGTGTATCACTGATTTTTTCAATAAATTTGGAATGATTCAGGTTTAGTTCCTTTGTTCCAATCATGTTAGCATTGTATATACACTGAGTGTCCAGATTATTATGACCACCTGACATCTGTAGGCAAATTAGCTATAATTTCGCACAGAAGTTGCTTGAGGGCGAGACCATTATAAATAGGGAAGCAGGTTCTTTACCACGACAGTAGAAGTGATTTTTTTCCTGAAGATATGGGTAAACAATGCAATTTAACAGCCTTTGAATGTGGGATATATACTATTATGAGTGGCCAGATTATTGTGATCACCCCATCAGTACTTAGTTGGGCCACCTTTTTGCCTTCAATACTGCGGCAATTTTTCTTGGCATTGACTCCATGAGATGTTGAAAGGTGATGGAGGAATCTGACACCATGCCTGATGAGTAGCACTGTCCAATTCTGTGAGATTTGATGGTTGTGGAACCAGCTGCCTGATGGCTCTTTCAACTTCATCCCACAAATGCTCAATTGGATTGAGATCTGGTGATCTTGGGGGCCACGTAAGCAAGGTAAAGTCTCCCTCATGTTCTTGAAACCACTCCTGCACAATACGAGCACCGCGGCATGGCGCATTGTCTTGTTGGAAGAAGCCATCTCCATTGGGATACGCCATCAACATGATAGGATGAACTGGATCAGCAACAATACTTAGGTATGTTGTGCTATTCAGACGTTCCACACGAATTAAAGGGCCTAAATCATGCCAGGAAAACATGCCCCAAACCATAACACTGCCCCCACCGCTTGAAGGATTGTACTCATTCATGTGGGGTGCATGCTTTCATGCTGTTTCCTCTAAATTCTCACTCTGCCATCTGCATGATGCAACTGGAAACATGACTCATCAGACCACATGACTTTTTTCCAATGCTCGACTGTCCAATCCTTGTGTTCCTGTGCAAATTGGAGACGTTTTATCTTGGTAACTGCAGACAGCAAAGGTGTTTGAACAGGCCTTCGGCTTCCATATCCCATACAATGTAGTGTACGGCTAATTTGCCTACAAACGTCAGGTTGTCATAATAATCTGGCCACTCGGTGTATATTCTGAATTTCATCATGTCCAGAATCTTCTAAATGTTACCATTGCTGTGCCTTCGAATTTGAATTTTTAATTCTTTGCATTGAGACTTCTCATACCAATCACATTAACTTTATTTTTTCTTACGATATAGGATTTCATTACACAAAAAGATGCTTTAAAAACAATACCATTTATCCAAAGGCAATTTTTTTTATATCAAAAAGGAGTTAGGAAAATAATCTTCAATGCCTATATATGGGCTTTAAAAAACCATACTCTACATGCAACTAAATAGTAGTAAACTATTGCACATACTATATGCTTAATGCTGTGTTAAGTGCATGAAAAGGCAGTATTGCTTATTGGTTGGTTGGGATCAAATCCTGGCTACATTGTTTACCTAGCTGAGTGACAGTGGTCAGGTATTTGATGTCTGTGCCTCAGTTTTCTTATCTATAAAAATGGGCTGTTATGAGTTCTTTCAATCCAGAAGCTCTAAAAATTAGATTTGTGTGTATATATGACTCTGTGGTACAAAACCTGATGTGCACCTAAACCATAAGTAGTCATATTTTACTGCAGAAACATAAATATGTTTAAACTACAGAATGTTTGCATAGATCCTACTGAGGTGGTTACAAAATAGATGATATACCTATATTCTGAAAAACAAAATTCTGAATTCAGAAACACATGGCTCCAGGGTTTTGAAAGAATTATGTACTTGTCTATGTAAAGAGCAATGCTTCATGTTACAGATAGCATCAGCTTATTGTATAAGCTTTTAGACTGAGAGGTTTAAAATCCTATGGAAAGCCTTTCTGTTATATAAGTTGAGTCCTTCAAGATTCAGGATTCTGTATGAGGAAAGTATATCTGCTAGTTAAAATTTGTTAATATAGTTTTAAAATTTTATGCTTTAAAAGCATAAGAGTTCATAGAAACGTTTTTGCTTTCTGTGAATATTTTAATTTACTTAAGCAGAGCTTAAATATTAAAAGTATTTTCAGCAATACCTTAAAAAGAATCACAAAGTGTTACTGGTATCAGAAGATACAAATTTACGTAGGATGTTAAGGCACTTCCTTTCAGAAATTCTCTGATTTTAATTCAAATCTCAAAACAGTAATACAAACAAGGTGCAAAAACACTCCCTTGAAAACCATGAATTCTGTCCTATTTCCATCAGTGTAGAGAAGCTGATAGATGTTTTTTTGCAAGAGTTTAGTTCATCCTCCCCCGCCCCCCCAAAACAAACAAACAAACCACAAACAGATAAGTATGTTCAGGCATCCTGTGGACTCAGTTTTGGGGTTCTCCCCCAATTACCACTTTTTGCTGATAATTTGTACTCTGAACATTGACCTTTTCTGTGACAAAATTGACTACATATTAACACTTTCATAAAGTTAGCTAGCTTAGGCTAGGGATATATATTTAGTGCCCATGAAATATGCTAAGAAATTAAATGCATTTCCTCGGCTTTACTCTTATTTTGTTATTTATTAGTTACAAAATGATAATTTCTTTCCTTTCTACTCTACCACCGAGGCAACTGTTTTATGGTGGAAAGGATAGTAACATGTGAATCTGGAATTTTAAATTCCCAGTTCTGACATTTTAATAATGGTGTGTTTTGTGAACAAGTAACTTAACCCATCTGACTTTTTTTCTCATCTATAACACTGGGATAATTACCTCTCAGGATTGTGAGGATTTAACTTAAGTCCTGATTCAAAGTATGTGACCAATAAACATTACTTCAATATAAAGTCCTTGATTTCTTTTTTCTTCTCAGTCCTGTTGAGTAGTGGC